TAGAAGTTCATATAATGTAAACTACACTAAATAGCAGATCAATCGTCACATTAGTGACTCATTGACATGGTTAGTCTCGAACTCTAAAGTACAAAAATATCATTTAGATGAAATATAAAGCATGTTATTTACAATAATGAAAAACAGGAGCACCTATAGGTAAGAACTGGTATTGCAATACTTGAGTATTACCCACCTCCGAACAATCGAGACACTACATAAATTTGGATCAATTTAGGTACAAAGGTGAGAGCACCTCATAATGGATGAGATTGACGATATGATGCGGATTAGCTTCAATAGTTTCAACTTTCAAGTAATAGAGGTGCATTCCTCTATCTGCCTTGTGCTAAAAGAGTTAAAGATAAAGTAATAGAGCCATTGATGTCGGTTTACGTATTGTATGATTAAAACATTAGAACTGAAGTAAGGGAATAACATCCCTACTACCATGGTCAATATCCCATTTCGGACCCAGAAACAAAGTCGAGTCCAAGCTCTAACAGGAAAGATGTTTGTGTATCTTATTTGAGAGTTTCATTTTGGTATATCACATGTTCAAAACAGAGTGGGTGAGTAAGCATTTGATCCTCAAAGTGTTGGTTTGAGAATAAATGTTGAGAATGGAAAAGACARCCTATTAGYATAAGTTACTAACACTTGAGTGGAGTATTAAATACAATTACCGTGTAAATGAAGTCCCTTACGTGAAGCTTGTGCTCCAGGTTGCTCAAGTACTACATCACAATAACAAATCCTACAATTTCTTTGAAAGGTAAGAGTAACAGAAGCATTTATTGTATTATTTACACARYATAACATGGATATCTTGAAATATGYCTAATATAAACTGATAAAAGAAAGTACTAACAATATAAAGAGCGTATCATCGATTACTGTATTCAATTACAACATACAATTTAGTCCAACAAAGATAGTTTGCATAAACTTACATTTTGGTTAAGAGTATCTCAGTGGTTTATGGCATGATGCAACAAGAGAGCTATTCAAGTATGAAATCTGCTAAATGTCTTTAGAGTTACAGCTGCGTGTATCCAGAGTTAAGCCTAATGCATCCAGAGTTTTGCTATCAGCTTTGCACAGTTGTACCATTTTGATCATATTTCCCTCCTTACAGATCTAAAATTGATGAGTCCAGATAGGATGGAAAGCTAAGACACAGTTCTACAACTTTTATGTTTTGAGTTTTCTCAAAATCAAGCTTCTGGTATGTCAAAAATTGTGTTGAACTCAAGTGATAATTGCTGGACAGAAGCTGAGAAAAACACTTGTTTGACTTTCAAAAGTCAACTATAAGCTTAAGGCTAATTCAATCATTCTCTAATCTTGAAGGCCAATTAGTTGTTCTTAGTGGATGTTTTTTTAATGATTCCTTATACACCTTTAAGATTATTAACTACAACTCCTGAACTGTAACGCTTGTCCATGATTTTCAAATTTCAGCAATGTACATCAAGTGGTCTTTTTTTAAGCAAGTTGAACAAAAGGGGCACAACTAATTGGAATACACAACTAAATAGACCGAAGACAAATCATGTACTAACATAAACAATATGTGAACAAGAATTTACATTAAACTTGATTTTGCTGTTGTATCTAAACAAGAATTTACACAACAAGAATGCAGTATTCCAATTAGTTGCAGCTGTTATATCTAAACAAGAATGCAGTTGTTGTATCTAAACAAGAAAGTACAATACACAACACACACACACAACAATCTGCAGCTGTCCCAAACAAGAATTTACATTAAACTTGATTTTGCAACCTGTCCCAAACAAGAATGCAGTCCCAAAAATTATAAAAAACAGAAACTGTTTGAAATCAAACATTATGCACAGTCCCAACAGCTGAAAGCAAAGACCGAGAATCTTACTCGGTAAGTGATGGCAACGACTCTTGCCACGGTTAGCACTTACCGGGTAAATTGTTGCATACAAAGTCGTTTTGGTGGACTAAATCTTACTCGGTAAGTAAACAATAATGTAACCTGACTATACAATAATGTAACATTAACATGTGAATTGTGATCTTGACCAATATTTTGGATATATATGGTTTAATCAGTCATGTGTAGGAGCATTAAAACCTTTTAACTCTTCCATCACGATTTCAAACTCTGGAACTGTATAGGACGTTGAACGCTACCAAAGATGGTATTTGTTAGCCTTTTCCTTCCATAATTGTTTCTTATTTTCGTTGACGTGTCTCAAACAATTCATGTGCTATGTACAAGGGAAGACTTTTGCTAATGCTAGAATGATGCCCTATGTATACAAAACAAGAAACAAGTTAGAAGTTATAAGATACAACCCAATTTCTATGTACAAAATGGTAACAAAAATGCACAA